CGGTGCATACTATGTTGTGCAATCTATGTGGTGCAATATATATATATATATATATATATATATATATATATATATATGGTGCAATCTATGTTGTCCAAGCGATGCGGTGCAATACGTGTGGTGTGAGCTATGCTGTGTGAGCCATGCGGTTTGCGCTATGTGGTGAGGTATGAGCGATGTGGTCAGTGTGTGTGGTGCAAGCTATGTGGTGCAAATGATTTGTACCCATGATTTGACACATCCCACGCTCTTGCAAACATCCCACCCACCCACCCGCAACTTGGTTTGCAAAACCTCTCAATACTGACTACGACGACACCGACGAACACGACTACGACGACACCGACGACGTCTCCGACGACTTCGACGACGACGACAACGACCGACGACGACGACGACGACGTCGCCAACGAAGACGACGACGAGGGAGAAGGAAGGACGACGACGGCGACAACGACGACAACGACGACAACGACGAGGGAGGAGGGAGGACGGCGACGACGCGAACGACGAAGAAGGAGGAAGGACGGCGACGCCGACGACGACAATGACGAGGGAGGGGGGAAGACGACGACTACGACAACTACGACGACGCGACGACGGCGACGAAATAGGGGGGACGACGACGAGACGCCGACGACGGACGACGACGACGACGAGGGAGGAGGAGGAAGGACGACCACGGCGACAACACGGAAACGACCACGACGCCAAAGAGGACGACGACGACGAACACGAGGAAAGACAGAGGACGACGTAGGCGACGACGACGACGACGCGGGAGGAGGGAGGACGGCGACGACGACGACGACGACGCAAGAGCGCGCGCGCACGTTTTGTTGAAAATCCGTGTTGCGAGACCTAATGTTTCTGTAGGTTTTTTGGACACACGATTTTGAAATCCTTCCGAAACCGATGGGTTTTGAAGGTTTTCGGCGTACGCGCGCGACGACGCGCGCGTCTGCACTTCGTCCCGTTTTTTGCACAGGATTCTCGCGACGGCACACGCGCAAGGACGTTCGACAGATTTCGACGCGCGCGCGAAGCCCGTTTGATAGCATTTTGTGAAAGTCTTGAAGAGCCAATGGTTTTCTTAAGATTTCGCAAGAGTTCGCGCGGAAGCTTTTTTAGCAAATCAGTGGTGCGAAACCCGGTATTGTCGTATGTTTTTTGGAAGCTCGATTGCGAAATTCTTCCGGCACCGAAAGTTTGTGAAGGATTCCGGCGTGCGCGCGCGACGACGCGCGCGTGCGCACTTTCTCATTTTTTGGCAAGGGATTTATGAAACAGTCTTATGTTAGAACAAAAAAGTCACCGCATAGTGTTTTTTACAAGGGAACCTCAGGGGGGCCGATCCTGGCCCTTCCGGAATCATGTAAATTATCATTGTTCTATTTTCTTTTTTAAGAAACGAGTAGACTATACCCCCTCCCCCGGCGTTATCGGTACCCCTTGTCGGGTATGTAAATCATATACGATTCTGGCCACATGTCCATCCTAAATATGAAGTCGCAATGTCCCAGGCCAGCCGGTATCCCCCCCCCTGAGGTTCCCCTGCGAAAAAAAAACAATAGGCGGGGACAGTTTTTGTTCTAACAAAGCACTTTTTCGCGAATCCCTCGCAAAAAACGGGACGAAGTGCACACGCGCGCGTCGTCGCGCGCGCACGCCGAAATCCTTCAAAAACCTTCGGTGCCGGAAGGATTTCGCAATCGAGTTTCCAAGAAAAAAGTTACAACAACACAGGGTTTAGCAACACCGATTTGCTAAAAAAGCTTCCGCACGAGCTCTTGCGAAATCTTAAGAAAGCCATTGGTTTTTCAAGATGTTCACAAAGTGCTATCAAACGGGCTTCGCGCGCGCGCATGTCGAAATCAGTCGAACGTCATTGCGCGTGTGCCGTCGCGAGAATCCTCGTGCAAAAAACGGGACGAAATGCAGTCGCGCGCGTCGTCGCGCGCGTATGCCGAACACCTTCAAAACCCATCGGTTTCGGATCGTGTGTCTAAACAACCTACAAAAACATTAGGTTTCGCAACACGGGTTTTCGACAAAAGCGTGCGCGCGCGCTTTTGCGTCGTCGTCGTCGTCGTCGCCGTCCTCCCTCCTCCCGCGTCGTCGTCGTCGTTGCCTACGTCGTCCTCTGTCTTTCCTCGTGTTCGTCGTCGTCGTCCTCTTTGGCGTCGTGGTCGTTTCCGTTGTCGTTGTCACCGTGGTCGTCCTTCCTCCTCCTCCCTCGTCGTCGTCGTCGTCCGTCGTCGGCGTCTCGTCGTCATCCCTCCTATTTCGTCGCCGTCGTCGGCGTCGTCGTCTTCCCTCCTCCCTCGTCGTTGTCGTCGTCGGCGTCGCCGTCCTCCCTCCTTCTTCGTCGTTCGCGTCGTCACCGTCCTCCCTCCTCCCTCGTCGTTGTCGTCGTTCTCGCCGTCGTCGTCTTCCCTCCTCCCTCGTCGTCGTCGTCGTCGTCTTCGTTGGCGGCGTCGTTGTCGTCGTCGTCGTCGTCGTTGTCTTCGTCGTCGTCGGCGTCGGCGTCGTCGTCGTCGGCGTCGTCGTCGTCGTCGTCTTCGTCTTCCCTCCTCCCTCGTCGTTGTCGTCGTCGGCGTCGCCGTCCTCCCTCCTTCTTCGTCGTTCGCGTCGTCACCGTCCTCCCTCCTCCCTCGTCGTTACCGTCGTTGTCGCCGTCGTCGTCCTCCCTCCTCCCTCGTCGTCGTCGTCTTCGTCGTCTTCGTTGGCGGCGTCGTTGTCGTCGTCGTCGTTGTCTTCGTCGAAGTCGGCGTCGGCGTCGTCGTCGTCGGCGTCGTCGTCGTCGGCGTTGTCATCGTCGTCGTCGTCGTCGTCGTCGGTGTCGTCGGCGTCGTCGTTGTCGTCGTCAAAGTCGTTGGAGTCGTCGTCGGTGTCGTCGTAGTCGGTGTCGGCGGCGCTGCCGTCGTCGTTGTCGCTGTCGTCGTCGGCGTCGGTGTCGTGGCCAAGTGCCATGTGGTACCTACCGTCACGGTCTTGTCTTAAGAGGTCTTGTGACCAAGTTGCGGGTGGGAGGGTCGGATGTGTGCACGAGCAGTGGAAAGGACAGCTTCAAAACGGTCAAAGCGGATTCATATTTAGGATGGACATGTGGTCAGAATCATACATGATTTACATACCCGAAAAGGGGGGGGATAACGGCAGGGGGGGGGGGAGAGTCTATTTTCTTTATGGAAAGGAGAATCAATCTACGTGGTGCAATACGAGGTGCCGTGCTCCTGTGGTCAGCTGTGCTCCTTTTCTGTCGTGCTGCGGTGCTGGTCAGTCGTGTTTTCTTGACCTGCCCTGCTGGTCTGCGGTACTCCTATGGTCCACAATGCTGATATGCATTTCTCCCGTGTCGTGGTGCTGGTCTGCCGTGCTGCCGTGGTCTCCCGTGTTGGTGGGAGGGCCGGGCCCAGACGGAGTGGCGACCAACGGCGGCGACGGGCGGTTGGCAATTGTGATATCCGTTCCCTGTGTCGGAGGAGCCGTTGCCCATGCCAGTCTGGCCTTTGGGTTGCCCGTTTCGTTGGACGCCTTGTTGTCGGAGCCTTGTCGGCGTCATGGTGTTTGTTGCTTGGTCGTATCCAGGTGTTTGTTCTGTGCTGCGGTGATCACTGGATAGCTCCCAAGCGGAATCGAGCTGCTGTTGGGCGTGCGGTGATGTACGCAAGCCCTGTGGAACGCAGGGCCACAAAGAGAAAACCGCTGACCTCATCATCCCCCTCCTCCGCCTCCTCCTCAGTCTTACATCCCTTATTTGCAATGTTATGCGAGGCAATGCCAAACACTGCAAAGCAATCGAAAGCAGTTAGTACACATGCAAAGCAATGCAACGCTATGCACTGTTAAGACAGGCGCATCAATGCAAATCAAAATCAAGCAGTGCAAAGAAACGCATCGAACGCAGCGCACATCAATGCAATGCAATGTTAAGGAACTCGCAGCAGAGCAACGTATCGCATAGCAATGCAACGCAATGCAAAGCAATGCAACCACTGCCAAGCAACACAACGGTATACAACGCAATGCCAAGCAATGCAAAACAATGCACAGCAAGGGAACTCAATGCAGAACCATGCCAAGCGATGCAACGCAGTGCAAAGCACTGCCAAGCAATGCTGCGCACTGCAACGCTCAGCAGAGCAATGCATCGCACGGCATAGTAAAGCAAAGCAAAGCATTTTAAAGTAAAACAGTGGAATGCCATGTAATTGCGATTCAGTGGGTTTGCAGTGCAAGTTTGCAACGCAATGCAAAGCAGTGCAACCTAGCGCAAAGCAATGCAAGGCAATGCCAAGCAATTCCAAGCAATGCAAAGCAATTCAAATCAACGCGAAGCAATGCAAAGCGGGCGGCGTCGAGGCGGCGACGGCGGCCACATGGCGGCCAGAGCGGCCCGCAGACCCAGGCGACGGGCGGCGACGGGCGGCGACGAGGCGGCGACGGTGGCTACACGGCGGCCAGAGCGGGCCGCATGCCCAATATCTCAGAAGACAAATAAGAAACCGCAAGTGCAAGCACTATCTGGGGAACATGTGCGAACCTCTAAGTACAAGCACAGCTTGCAGAACCATAGTGGGGTGAGGTCTTGATGACTAGTGCTGGGAAGTTTTGCGAGAGGTCGATCGAACACGACGACGACGCCCGCGACCAGTCCTGGAACACAACTGCCCAGTCATCACTGCCCAGGGCGCCAATGCGTGACAACCCCCTGGGCATTTCTTGATCGTCATCCCACGTTAAGAACACTTGTGCGCGCAGCCGCGTTTCCAGACACCCGACGATATGATTCTTTCAATGCGCCTCACCGGAGCTGAACCCTTCCCCGGGGGAGTATCTCCCGTCCCAGACCCGTTTTCGTCGGCCACGACGGCCGATAGCGGGTCCCAGAGGCCGAAATCGAGGAAAGACGCCAGGATTGACACCGCCATGTCATACCGTCGGAGATCTGGGTTATGGACATTCTGGCGCACAGTCGGGCTTCTCAGTCTCCCAAGGCTGGGCCCGCAGCCGCGGGGGGGGTCGACGACTGGGTGGCCTCAGAGGACCTCCTGCGGAGCTCCGCGGAGCTCGCCCGGAGGCTCGGCTGCCGGGGCCCCGCAGACCTCGGGTGCCTCCGGGCGGTGGCCGCCGAAGAGGTGGTCGACGTAAAGAATATCCTAGAGTTATGTCGGGCGTGTCCCCCTACAGGGGGATTTTCGACGAAAAATACAAAATACACAGAAGAACACCCCAAAAAGGGTTAAACAATACATCAAACATGGTCCCTTGATTGTTTCCCCACGTCCTAAGCGGGGTTCTTGCTTTCTCTGGACGGCCGCGGGCCACGCCCACCCACACCCAGTCACACACACACACGCACACACATACACACACATACACACACACACACGCACACGCACACGCACACGCACACGCACACGCACACGCACACGCACACGCACACGCACACGCACACGCAAGCGCGCACACGCAAGCGCGCACACGCAAGCGCGCACACGCAAGCGCGCACACGCACGCGCACGCGCACGCGCACGCGCACGCGCACGCGCACGCGCACGCGCACGCGCGCACGCGCGCACGCGCGCACGCGCGCACGCGCGCACGCGCGCACGCGCACACACGCACACGCGCACACGCGCACACGCGCACACGCGCACACGCGCACACGGGCACACGCGCACACGCGCACACGCGCACACGCGCACACGCGCACACGCGCACACGCGCACACGCGCACGCGCGCACCCGCGCACTGGCGTACACGCGCACGCGCGCACCCGCGCACTGGCGTACGCGCGCACCGGCGCACGCGCGCACGCGCGCACGCGCGCACGCGCACACGCGCACACGCGCACACGCGCACACGCGCACACGCGCACACGCGCACACGCGCACACGCGCACACGCTCACACTTTTTTGGTCGCGGCCGCGAGCGAACGCGCATGCGGCGAAAGAAGTCGTCCGGGCCGACGGGCGAACCTAATTCGGTGCTGGGTGCTACTCAAGCTGGCCGGGCCAGCTCACCAAGCGGCAGCAGGGGCAGCCGGGCGGGGTCTGGCTGGCTGAACAGGCACCCAGGGAAGCGCGGTCATCGTGCAGCCCAGGGCAAAATGCCAGGGAATTCGGTGTTACGCGCTGCGGCGACAACCCACGCAATGGGAGGTGCGAAAGCAGGAAAGTGACCTGCACGTGCGAACCTCACAAACATGATGGTGGGGGACGCGCTGCGGCGTTAGACCACTCAGGTGACGGCGCGAGGTGCACTTGATCCTGCAGTGGGGGATGGCAAGGTACACGCTGGTCCTGCCGCCGGCTGGGGCGCCAAAGGCCAGTGCCATGACGATGGCGTAGACCTGCCTAAGCTCGGTGGGGCGGAAAGGATGGAAACGCCGCGTCCAGCGGAAGGCTGGGCCACTCCGAGACGCCGCGCGCGCATCCAGGGAAACGCCACCTCCGAGCAGGGGCAACGGACCGGCCCGAGTGTGGGCCTGGCCCATGGCCACAGGGTCACGACGTGAGCGTCGTAGAGAACCGCGTATTGCGCAGAAAGGAAGCCAGACTGGCGGGGATGGACGTCGCCAGCGCAGCGGGAGAGTAGGCGCCAGGGGGCGACAGGGCCAGGGGGCAATCACCCACGTGCGGAGCAGTGTCACGAGACCTGACGGGCCACCCTGCCCGTGCGGGGCCCTCCTGCGGCGGGGGCGGTGGGGACAGACATCACCAGCCGGCCACGTGGAGGGGCCCGCCGGGGACACCTGGCGCCAGGGGGGGAAAGGGAGGGGGGCCGGAGCCAAGGCCCGTATTCCAGGGTGCAGCCAACGGCTGCTCAGGGTTTACTTCAAGACAGGTCCACGTCCAGTGGAGCGCGTGGCCCAAGATCCAGGGATGCAGCTAGCGGCTGCTCAGAGTTCGGTAACTGTCATGAGCGCCCACCCAGCAGGGGCGACGTGTGGGCAGAGTTTTCCCCAGCGAAGCGCTGCCTACTATCGACCTGCTGGCCCCGGTGTCGGCGGCCTGCCTGCAACGCTGACATCTCTGTCCCTGCAAGCGTGCCGAGGTCACCAGGGGTGCAGCTAACGGCTGCTCAGTGACGAAAGACAGCCAGGGGGCCGCAGCTGCTGCGCTGGGAGAGGGGGCTGTCCTGCATCGCCCTCGCCAATGGGCACGACTGCAGCGCCGAGGAGCTGCCCCGCTCCTGCCACGCGGCCGTCCAGCCGTCGGGGACAAACTGGTTCCCGCCAGTTGCCAACGGGTGATAACCTGGGACCAGCGCTGGATCCTCCCCGCGCCTGTCCTGTCGGGAGGGAGGGTCGTCTGCGCCGGCGCGCCCCCAGAAGAGCGGCCATCGGTGTGGGGGGCGCCGTCTGCCCTCTCAGAGCAGCTGCTTCCAGGGTGGCCGAGGCCTCTACAGTCGCGAGTCCGACGCGCAAGGGGGGGATGAGATCTGTCGGGCGCCGAGGGGAGTGCCCCGTCGAGGCGCCCGAAAGTGGTAGCGGGTGGGCAGCGGAGTCCGTGCGTCGCCCACGCCCATCTAACCAGCTGAGGCTGTCTAGCTATGCTGCGCCTGGGGGAAGGGCAGCCCCCGCCCCAGCGGTGGGCGGCCCCGAGGTATTGCGGCCGGCAGGCTGAGGTATTGCGGCCGGCAGGCTGGGCGCAGCGAGGTGAGACGGGCCCTGACGGGCCACCGTAGAGTGTGGGTGGTGGTGGGATGAACCCGAGGCCAGCACCCGTAGCGGGGAGGTGCCTTGGGGCCTGCAGTCTTGCAGGCAATTCTTCCCGCCGTAGCTTGTTGCTCAGTGGCGGCCGACCTTAACCGCGTAGGCTGCGGAGTCGCCTTATGCCCACCAACGGCCTCGCTTTTCAGAGTCGTGGTGGTCGTCCCGCTGGGGGGATCGCTTGCCGCCCCCTTTCCATTCGGTGCTTGTCCACGAGGTGTCGCCTTGGCCCCATGTTGACCAGCCCTGCCAGCCATGCCATTGGTCGGAGGAACTTGAGGGACTGCTGACTGCCCAGGGGACCTGTGCCGCTGGCCGGCCGCCCCTGCGGGTCTCCGCTGACCAGGGGGCCGGCTTGTCCCGACTCCGCTGCCCAGGGGGCCTGCGCAAGTGCACCGAAACGCTCGGATAACTTCATTTGTTTGCGGCGGATGGCGTCCCAGTCAACTCCGAGCCTCTGCTCATTGTTCATCCGATACGCGTCGAAGCCAGCCCGCCTCCAGGCGTCCATGATGTCTCGGGTGCGTTGAGTAGGGGGTTGTTCTTGTAGCCTCCCTTGGCGTCATTGTCCAGTGCCGCGCGCTTGGGCCATGCGTGCCAGATAGCATTGAAGGCGCCCCCTAGCGTTTTTTTTTCTGTGTTGCAAACGCGCAATCTTGACCTGGATGTCTTCCCTTTTGTTTAGATCCGCGACTGCCAGGGAGCATTTGTACATGGGGCCGCCACCCAGGGGGTCTTGGAGGCCTCCGAACACCAGGCGGTCGGCGTTGGTGCCCTTCCAGGGTCCCCTGCACGGCTCCAGTCGCACTGGGTTCCACCTGGGCGACTTCGCTGCGCGCCCTTTCCCGTCCCCCGTGTCTTCGGAGTCTGGGCGGTTGCGTCCTTGCTGCCAGGGAGGTGGGTTGGGGTCGCTGGTGTCCCTGGCCCCGACTTGGTCCCAGGACGGTGTGCTGGCCTGCGCGGCATCGTCTGTGGTCCTCTGTAGCGGCTGGCCTTGATCGCCGCTTCCGCTGGCTGCGTCCTTGGCGACGGCCTGCGCGCAGGGCGTCCAATGGGGAACGGATGGAGCGTGCCACTGAACATACGCCGAGGGGGTCGTCGTCATTGGCAGCCGTGGCCGCTGGCTCGGGGCTCCTGCTCGGGCTTGCCTCCTTAGCCGCTGCGGCCGCTGCTCCTGAGTCTTCGTTCCAGTCTGGTGACTCTGGGCTCCTGGGCTCCCGCGGCTCCGCCTCTGCCCTGCAAGCCTGCGCGGCATTGCACTGCGCGACTGCTGCTGCGTGGGTCTGAGGCCCGATCTTGGCCCCCTCGTTGCCGGGTGCCTCGCGGTCCGGCCTAGAGGTGTCATCGAGTCGTGCAGGTTGCCCCAGGTTCGTCTCACTCGGGGGGGTGGCTTCTGCCGCTTCGCTGCGCCCGTCCAGCCAAGAGGCTGCGGGGGAGTCCTTCGGCGCTGCTGCGCTGGTGGCGGACTGGAATGGGCCCTGCTGTGCCAGGGAGTTGATGGTGCGGTCGGCAAGGGCCGAAGGGTCCATGTCTGCGAAGTATCCCAGCAAGGTACCGGTCGCATGGCGAAAGGGGCTGAGGCCTCGCTGCTCCACCAGTCTAGCAATGTATGTCCGCCACTTGTTCGCGTGCGCGTCTTTCTGTGAGAGGTGGGAGACGACCCGGGCGGCCGCTGCCCTCTGGCTGTCCCAGGGGATGTCGGCAGGGTGGCGCTTCGCCGGGATCGTTGGCCCGTAGATGCTGACCAGGAAGGGGCTCAGCCTGGTGGGGGGCCAGGACTCCTCGTCGGTCCTATCGCCGGGGATCCGATCTCCGTGCTTCTGGACGTAGTCGGTCCAGCGCCTGTAGATGTCCGGGCTCCACTCGAGCAGGAACCTGACCAGCGAGCGGAGACCGCCCTGGAGGGTTCGTATGGCGCCACCGCGCCGATGTCGGCACACCCCTCGCACGTTTCGCGGCCCCCTAGGAAGTTCTACCGATGTCTGCAGTGAGTGGGTTTGCATGGCGCCACCGCGCTCATTTCGGCAAATCCCTCAAACGTTTCGTGGCCCCACAGGGAGCTCCACCGAAGGCCCCAGAGGGAGGGCTCACATGGCACCGCCGCACCCATTCCGGCACACCCTTAACACGCTTCGTGGCCCCATCGCAAATTCCACGGAAGGCCCACGTGGGAGGGTTCGCATGGCGCCAAGGAGCCCATGTCTGCACATCCCGCGCACGCTGGGTGGCCCCATGGGGAGCTCCACGGAAGGCCTCAGAGGGAGGGTTCGCGTTGCGCCACCGCACCCTTTTCGGCACACCCTTCATACGCCTCGTGGCCCCATTGGGAGCTTACCGAAGGCTCCAGTGGGAGGGTTTGCATGGCGTCACCTTACACATGTCGGCACACCCCTCGCACATTCCGTGGCACCATGGGGGACCATTCCGAAGGCCCCAGCGGGAGGGTTCCATCGACAGGGTTGACATGGCACCACCGCACCAATGTCGGCACATGCCTCGCACGTTTCTTGGCCACATCAGGAGTTCCGCCGAAGGCCCCAGTGGGAGGGTTCGCGTGGTGCCACCCTTTGTGGGCCCCGGAAACGGCAGGGCCGTTTTTTCACCGTATCCAGAAAAATGTCCCTTGAAAATGGAAACGGCAAAAAAACGGCGACCGGAAACGGCAAAAAACGGCTCCAGGATTGGAACCGAAGCCAGAACCGGTCAAAAAACGGCGACGGAACCGGTAAAACAACGGTGTCGGAACCGGCAAAGAAACGGCAAAACGGAACCGGTAAAAAAACGGCCCTGTCGTTTCCAGGGCCCACTAAGGTGCCACACCTGACTCGGCGCACCCCTCGCACCCTTCGTGTGCCCACCGGCAGCTCCACCGAGGGGCCCTAGCGGCAGTGCTCACATGCGCCCCCCCGCCCATCTCGGCGCACCCCATCGCAGGCTCCGCGACCCCATGGAAGAGCCCCACCGAGAACGATATTCACGACTGCGTCACTCACCACCCACCAAACCACCCCAACCCAACCCGAAGGCCTCAAATTGACCTCCACTGCCAGTGGGGGGGGGGGTCGGGGAACATCGAGACACCACAGATGGAACCCGTACCCCCCCGAACCCGAAATTCGGGTCCTCGGGTTGGGTTTGGGTGGTCTGGTAGGTGGTCAGTCACCCACAACTGCACATGGCTGGGTCCTTCGCGAGGAACCTTTTCGCCTGTCTCGGCATCCGGGGGCCGTCACAGAAGACATGGGATGGAGAGGTGGCCTGGGGACACGAGACCCAGACATTTTGGGGGGGGGGCCCGTCTCGAACACGTCGGATCCTTGGAGGTCTGGGGCGGCGTCCCGAGGGACATCGTGTCCTGCACTGTCGTGTTGAGCTTCCTCTCGGGCTCCTGCAGGGCAGGGCCAGCAGGGAGACGGCTCGACGCCGTCGGGCCGAGGCATGAGGTCGAGGTCGGTTCGGGGAGGGTGCCCTGGTGTTCTGCGTGCTCGAGGGATGCTCTTGTGCATCCCTGGGCTGGCACCCTTGGATGCTCCGTGTGTTCTGTCCACCAGGGGCAGGGGGTCTCGTGTTCTTGAGGGGTGTTCTTCTGGCCTAGGTCCGACTGTAGTGAAAGAGTTGACCCCCCAGGAAGGAAGCCCCCGCGGTCCAGTCGGGGGAAGGACAAGGCCACACCACCACCAGCAGGGGGGCCACCTCCCGCGAGGACGTCCGTGATGCCTTCCCGACCTGGGGACAGGGTATGTCTGGAGCGATAGGGGGGGGGGACCACACAACCAGGGGGACCCTCCCCCCTGGCTCCTCCAGCGGGTGTTCCCTGGGGGTGGTGGTGTCGTTTGTCCGTGTCCCTACTTGAGGGCACGCTCTTTTTCGTGGCCGAGAGGTGGTCGAGGCGGCCGAGGGGCATCAGATGCGCTTCGCGCCCTCGCTGCCAGGGAACCAGTTCCCGCTGGGGCTGATCCGCAAGGGCAGGCGTTCGGGGGAGCAGAATGGCGCCAGAGCCAGTGCCGACGCCCTTCCCTCGCTTCCGCCTTCTTTGGGCCTCGTGCGGCGCCCTCGTCGCTGCAACTCGAAGAAGGGCAGGTTGCACACATATGAACTTTAACAGCTCCGTGCGGATTTCTGGGATCGGCGTTGCCCCCCCCCCCTGGCAGTGCCCCTGGCGTCGCCCCTGGCGCGCTCCGCGCTCCAGGGATGGTGGGGGGTCCAGCGCCGTCCCAAGAAATCCGCGCGGAACTCCAACAACTGATGTTTATGCAATTGTTTCTTCTTCAAACGACTGGATCGCCCCCGAATCCTGGGCAGTGCGCGCCTGAGGATGAAGTCCCAGGGGGCGCAACGAAGCGACGCTGCCTTAACTTGTCAGAGGTCCGCACGGACTGAGTGGGCCGGCGACGTTTCTCCACTGCCTCCGCCAGCGTGCTCCGCGCGCTGGGGAAGGTGTGTGAGGGGAGGAGGGCTTGCCATGGATCGACGAAGTCCGCGGGGACCTCCGAAAGCCTGTGCTTGCGCAGTCTTGCTGGCCTCGAAGCCCAGACGCCCGACGATATTGCTTGTCCAGTGCGCGGGCCCAGAGGTCCTGACCTCCTCCCGGGGGGGCAGTTTTTCGTCGCGGTCCCGTGTTTGCTGGTCCTGGATCCCGATATACAGCGGGCCCGAGGGGCCGAAATCGAGGAAATTCGCTGGGACTGAAAAAACATATCGTCGGACATCCAGGCAAGGTGGAACCGTGTGCCACTTGTGGTGGGCTCTTGCAGCTGCGAGGGACTCAAATCTCGAGGGCGAGGGCTGCTGGCCAGCTCAAACATCAGCGAGGAGAAATTCCGCGAGCAACTGCTCAGGCACGGCTTCGACGAGCAACGCGGGTCCGCCGTCGGCCTTGAGCTGATTCATCTGGCCGACGCCACCATGTCCGCCGACCCCTTGGTGTTTTGAGACGGTGGTGGGCCCTTGCCAGGCGGAGGTCGGGGAGACGGAAAGGAGCATGGTCGGAGCCTCTGAAAATGATAGCACAGAGGTGATGGTGGTGACGACGACGATGACGATGACGATGACGATGATGATGATGACGATGATGCTGATGCTTATGATGATGATGATGATGATGGTCATGATGATGGTCATGATGATGGTCATGAAGATGGTCATGATGATGGTCATGATGATGGTCATGATGCTGATGATGCTGCTGCTGCTGATGATGATGATGATGATGCTGGTGGTGATGATGATGACGATGATGATGATGATGCTGCTGATGATGATGGTAGTGGTGATGGTGGTATTGATGGTGGTGGTGATGATGCTGGTGCTGGTGCTGGTTCTGGTGCTGGTGCTGGTTCTGGTGCTGGTGCTGGTGCTGCTGCTGCTGCTGATGCTGATGCTGATGCTGATAATGATGACCCTGATGCTGCTGCTGATGATGATGACGACGATGATGCTGATGCTGCTGCTGCTGATGCTGATACTGATGCTGATTATGATGGTGATGATGATAATGATGATGATGATGATGATGATGATGATGATGATGATGATGATGATGATGATGATGATGATGATGATGATGATGATGATGCTGATGATGATGATGATGATGATGATGATGATGCTGATGCTGATGCTGATGATGATGATGATGATGCTGATGCTGATGCTGATGCTGATGCTGATGATGATGACGATGATGATGACGATCTGATGATGGAGTGAGTGGTAATAGAGGGGGGCTGCAAATGGTAGGGTGAAGAAAGCAGCACCTCTGGTACACTTAGGGGGCCGTTTAGGAGCCCCTTGTTGCCTTGCACCGTTTGAGACATATTCGGCACGGCGATTGCGCCGGCGCTTCACTGCAAAGTGGGAACTGCGCGCACGAAGCATCTGACACTATCTGGGTAAGAGAGCAATGCGAGACCCAGAAAGGTCGCGCAGCGACACCAACGCTGGCTGCGTGCGCGCGCACGCCGTGCCCCGTCAAAAGCGGATGCATTTCCTTTCTATGTAAACGCAATGAAGCATTGGGCCCGTTGAGGGACCTTTTCGACCAACTGGGGTAGTTGGAGGATTTTTTCCGGGACACGATCATGCATTGCGATTTCTTGCCGCCCGCCAGCTTCGCGCATCCATATGTCTGAGGGGGAGACCGCCGTGCGCGATGCACAGAGCGCAACTCTGTGGCCACGTTCGGAGTTGCGCCGCAAGCATGTGAGCTCTGGCTGCCTCCAATTGCCTCGTTTGGGCCACGTGCGGTCCTTCCCCCATGTGCGCCCCCCACAAACACTTACTTGAGATGAGGATGAGGATGAGGATGAGGACCGTCATGAGGATGATCACGAGGGTGATGTTGGGGATGCTGCTGATGATGCTGATGATGATGATGATGATGATGATGATGATGATGATGATGATGATGATGACGACGACACTTGTCTTGATGGAGCAACATGTCGGCAGTCCATGCCATCCATCTTCGCGAGGGCCTAAGTGCTGTCCAAGTTGGTCACTTCAGTGGCTGCAGGGGCGCTCTCTACGTTGTTCGGCTCTATGATAACAGTGGCCTTCACCTCCACCGCATTTGCGATCAGCATGTCGCTCGTCTCTCTGGAGACAGGAGCCCACGCGAAGGTTACAATAACCTTCTCCACTGAGACAGCCTCCACGCAGACCGAGCTCTTGATCTGCTCGTCCTCCGTCCTCCAGACCCTGCGCTGCTCAAGCGTCCAAGTAGCGTTGAGGATGTCGGGGCGCTCCTCCAGGGGCAGGCCCCTTGATGTCGGCGGGCCCGTCGCCCGTTGTGGTCCGAGGTGCAGTCGGCGGTGCCCGGGGCGCATCCCAAAGCGCCGAGTCCTCGCCGGCCGCGCCTTGCGCCACTATTGCACCCCAGCACGCCAGGGCGCCGCCACGACCGCAGCAGCGGCCTGCTGCTCCTTGCCCGAGTCCGCCGCGAGGCCATGCGTCGTGAGCACTGCGCCCCAGCCTGCCCAGCGACGGCCGTGACCGCGGCGTGCCGCTCCCTGACCTCCTGCGTTGGGCGCTGCGCCGGCGCCGCCGCCACCTGCCAAGCTAGCGACTGCAGTCTCTAGAGGGGGGAAAGGGGTGCGGTGCAAAAGGGTATGGTTCAATGGGGCGGTATGGTGATTTTATGGTTGATGTGGTTCGCTTTGGAGCTGATGCATCATATTAAGATGTGCATGCGTTCGTGGTTGCAGTTGCTCTCGCACTGCAGTTCTGGCGCATCCAAGCGATGGTGGCCAATTGGCCATTGATGGGATGCCTCTTTGCTTGCTCGGCTGTTTGGTTTTGCCTGTGTTTGTGCGCGCCCGGCGCGCAGCGTTGCCGTGTTACTGCCGACAACATGGTTCCACTAGATAAAACAACTTCTTCTCAGCTCTCTCATCCTTCTATCCCTGGCCTTAATCGTCCTATACAGGTCTGTCCTCATATTCGCCTCGCCGCCCTCCATCCCCACCCAACGTATGAGTTGATCCGCTGTCGTTTCGCTTTCCTTGCGGGTATGAGGTCGTTGCGCGCGCGGCGCTGTGCAGTTGGCAGCGGTACCCTTCTGAATTATGGTTGCAGTCGTCGGCGACGTCTTTTTGTCAATGGCTGCCGCGGTAGCATCGCACGGTGGCTGTCGTTTCGGCGATTGCGCATGTGTGTTGACAGGCTTTGTCGTTGCCGCGATTGCTATCATCAGTGGCCTACGACCCCCAGCGCGCAGCATTGGGTCTTGTCGAATTTTCTCTCGCTCGTGACCCCCCCCGCGCGCGGGCACGCATCCCCAGCGCAGCGCTTGGTGGCCTGATTGGGAACTCCTTCGAAGGTGTCAGTGGTAGAACTCGCGCGCGGCCCACGACGGCGCTTCGTGGCCACATATGGAGCTCCACCGAAAGCAACAGCGGCAGATCTCGCATGCGCTCCCCTCGCCCAGCGCATCGCTTCGAAGCAAAGCGAAGCGCCACCTAAGGTCCCAGTGGCGGAAACCGCATGCGCTTCCCCCGTTCAATGCAGCGCGTGGTGCACTGCGAGCTCCACCGAATGCCCCGGCGAGGGAATTCGAGTGCGTTTCCCGCGCCCGCCACGGTGGTTCATGGACCCATGGGGAGCCCCATCGAAGGCCCCGGTGTTAGAATTCGCTGCGGTTTCTCTATCCCGCGCATCGCTTCGTAGCCCCATGGGGCGTTCCACCGCGGGCCCCAGTGGCTGCGCTCGCGTTCGTGTATCTAACCACGTGCAACGCCTCGCGGGCCCATGGGGACCCCGAGCTTTGACGATGCCTTGTCGGCGGAGTTGCAGAAGTCACGCGGTCGGGTCTCTCGCCAGAGACTTCATTTGGAACGCAAGTTTTGGCGCCGCGGCCGCGCCCGTGATGAGATGCCGCCCATGGGGATCTGGATAGGCTCGTTCGCGCTTCTCCGGCGGTTCCTTGGCGGAGCTTCTCGTGGACACGAAGGCGCGTAGCGCGGTGGCCGCCTCTTCTGGCGATTCTGAGGTCCCAGGGGTCTGGCATTCAAATTTTGGAATTTCGAGTTCTTCGCGTTGAAATTTCGGAAGTTCTGGAATTTCGTGTTTCAAATTTCGGAATTTCCGTGCGTGTTTTTATATAAGGTATTATGTATGTATGTATGTATGTATGTATGTATGTATGTATGTATGTATGTATGTTTGTATATACATATATATATACAATTACTACAAATTTCTGAAATTCTGGAATTTCGTTTTTCAAATTTCGGAAAGTCCGGAATTTCGTTTTTCAAATTTCGGAAATTCCGGAATTTCGTTTTTCAAATTTCGGGGATTCCCGAAATTCGTTTTTGATAGTTCGGATTCTAATAGGCGGAAGCATGTTATATTCATGCGCAGTTGCGTGCGATCGCAGCGTAGGCAGGCGCCGGCGGACGGGGGGTGCAGGGGGGACCTCGGTGGCGGAGGAGGCAGATAATGAAAGTGCGTCTGAGAGACCAGTCGGCGCTTTAGACAGCAGCGCGGCGAAGTCGCAAAATTTAATGCAGGGAAATTGCGGGGCGCGCCAAACATGTCTCGCATTGTGCTTTTACAGGGCAGCGCAGCTCAGCGCATCTGTTGCGATGATTGTTTCGTGGGCGGGGGGTGGAGGTTGGGCGTTGAAGCAGAGGCCGCCCCACATCGCAGTTTGTGCATGGCGCCAGATTGAAATCGCCGCGGGCGCCGCTTTGACTTCCAGGGCCCTTTTCGGCGGACGTTTGAGCAACGTGCAGAATCCTATGTTTCCCCACGCCCTGCCCCCAATGCCTGCCCGGCCCATTCGCGCCCGCGTGCTGCGGGCCGCTATGCCGCAACGCCGCAATTCGCATGTTCTTTTTCGCCTAGCCGGGCCGGCCCGAGGAAACGCCGATGCGACCGTTCGCGCTTCCCCGTGGAACTTCGCCGAAACATCCCGAGTAGTGACGCATGACATTCCTTGCGTTGCGCCCCTTGGTCCAGTGGCCGACCGAGTGTAATTTTCTTTCGTGGGTCATGCAAGTCGTGGAGGGAGCGCGCGCGAGGTCAATGCTTGTCGCCGGGCTGCAAAGCAGGAGGGCGCATGTTGATGCGCCTGATTGTAAGCTCTACGCGGCCATGCGTTCTTGCGCTCGGCGTCGTGTCCAGTTCGCGATGGGGGGCGGACTCCCAGCGTCCGTTTCGCCCCCCGTGACAGAGTCTCGCGGCTCGGGCTTGCCGCGCGCGCCCACGCGCGCGGCGTGGCCGGGGGAAGGCAAATAGGAAGTAACGCTTCCTTTGGGAAGCGGTGGGGCAATTATGCGGGGGGCGGTGCAACAGGAAGGATCGGTAGAAGAGGGTCTTTCGCATTTTGACGAGTCGGGGGGTGGTCATATTCGCAGGCCTTCTGGGGCACCGAGCGTTTCCCGCGATCCGACGCTGGGCTTGCGCGGGACACTTTCTCAACGCGATGATTGCGTCAACCGTGCCAATGCTTCTGATGCGCGTTTGCGCGGCGCACTA